TCTGATACAGCCTCCTCTGGGAAGCCTCCCTAAGGTTCCTAGGAAGTCTGTGGCTTTCAACTTCTCCCTCTCCTGTGTGGTGATGATTTGTCTTTTTTTTTTTTTTTTTCTTTTTCTGCCTTCTTGGGGAATTGTTTCCTGGTCATGCTCCCAGCTGTGTCTAGCACAGGTGCAGAGCAGCTATACAGGTATTGATTGGGTAGGTAGCTGAATGAATGAATGAATGAATGAATGAAAGGGGGAAGGAATGAATGGCTGGAAAATGAGTCCATCCTGGAACCTGTATTTCCTGGTGAGCATCAGAACTTCTTTCACCCCGGGCTAGCCCATTTGAGAGCCGAAGGGGAAGCAGAAGGGAGCGACTGCTCTGGAAGGGAGTAAGAAAATCAATAAAAATGTAAATCTGGTAGAGAAAAGCTGTCCCAGGCTGGGCTGTGGGGAGAGATAAGACTGGGCCAGCTGAGCCCTGGCTGACAGCGGATGGGAGATTAGGGGAGGCGCGGAGCTGCGGCCAGGGCAGGGCCAAGGGTGTGCGCCTCCTCTGTCAGCCTGTGCCTTTCCCCAGCTCCACTCCAGTGCTCATCTCTGCCTCTCTCGGGATGGAGAGGAAGGAAACGTCCAAGTCTGACCGAGCAGTTGCAGCTGCAGGTGAGCACAGTAACTATGTGGTTTCCCTAACTTCTGGGATGGGGACACAGGTACCATTCCCTGACAACCCCAGAGACTAGGGTGCAGAGAAATGATACCCCTGGTTCTGGATCACATGGAGAGTCAGCAGCAGATTAAGATTTGAACCCAGAGCTGCTGAATTCTGCACCTCCACCCCTTCATTGCACGGAAGAGGTTGAGCCTCAGCTCTCTAGAGGTTGTCCCTGGGCTTCAGGAGGCCCACATTTGTGTCCTTCGGTTTTATTCCCTTGTTGCTTTAACAGTGAGTCTGTATCCTCGGCTAGATTCCCAAAAGTGGCTGCCACCTGCCCTTGCTGCTTGTCCCCATCCCTCCCCGGAGGACAGCTGCCTCCCTGCAGGTGGTGGCCTTTGAGCTGGGTCTGGGACTCTAACATGGCTGCGTGACTGAAGAAGGCAGCAATGGACCTGTATCCACGAAGGCATAGTGTGGGGACAGCCCTCAACATTGCCAGGCTCTGGTGAGCGCACACACAGGATCAGCCTCCTCTGTTACATGGGTGCCACTCTCCTGATGCAATTAGGTGCCAGCAGGGAATGTCAGCTTTCCTCCAAGTTCTGTCCTGTGCTCTGCTGGGCTCTGCCACCAAGAGACTCTCATAGGGAAAGTGTAATGGTTTCTCCTCCCACTTCCCAGGGGGTAGGCAGGGAAGGAGGGGAGCTCACAGATGGAAAGCCTAGCTTGTGGCCGTTCACCAGCAGAGACCAAGTGAGGTGTGGGGGCCTTTCCCTGGACCGCATGTGCCCAGAACCTCTCTGACCCTTTGCTACTCTAATCCCTTGGTTCTCAGCTGAGGGGTGGTCTATCTTTTGAGGACTCCTGGGCCCCTTCATCCTAGCTAGTCCCAAGTCCTCATCTTCTTCAGCTTCACTATGGGAGCTGGGGCTGCAGGAGCCATCCACTTCTCCCTGGGTCGGGCAGGGTCCCAGCATGCTGACCATCTTTTCATGTTTTGGTAACATTTTCAACATGTGACACCTTAACCTCAATCATGATTGCTATTTCCTTCTACTCCCATTCTCCTTGGGTTCCAATTTTCCTTTCCGCAAAGCCTAGGATATGGCAAAGGAGAATTTAGTTGGGCAGAAATGTATTTATGGATGTTGCATGACCTATGTGTACAGGTGATTACTGCTAGCTGCTTCTGTGTAGAGATGGCTTCTAGAAATATGTCTACACACTGTCAGTTCACTCAGCACTGAGACATCAAGCTGTCATGTGCGGAGGTCATATGGGATGAGTGTTTTATGCCATCTCACCCTGGAAGTACATTGTCCCTAGGTATACTGGAAGATGGAGTCCAGGCTCCCTGTAGATATGAAAATCTGTGGATGCTCAGGATTGGCACAGAGCCTGCCCACAAGTTCCTGTATGTGGTGACGTAGCCCTAGATGGCCGTCAGTGCATCAACACCCACTACCGTGTAAAAGCCACCTAAATAGCTGGTGTATTGTTTAGGGAATAACGACAAGGAAAAACATTCTGTGTGCCTTCACTACAGATGCATTTTTAAAGGTGCATTTTATATACAGAATTTTCATATAGTTTGCGTACATTCTATAGGGGCATTCTACTTAGGCATTATGGCATGGAAGATTAAGGCGCCATTTGTGATGCTTGCATCCCTTATGAGTGCCCATTCCAGTCCTGCCTGCTCCATTTTCCATCAAGCTCCTTTGGGAAAGCAGTGAAGAATGGCCCAAATGCTTGTAACTCCTGTACCCACAACAAGACACAGATGGAGATCCAGGCTTTTGGCTTCAGCCTGTCCCCATCCTGGATGTTGTGGCCATTTGGGCAGTGAGCCAGAAGATGGAAGATACTTTTATCCCTTTGGTTCTCCCTCTCTAGGTTACTTTTTAAAATAAATAAATAAAAGGTAAACAAATTATACAGATCTATCTTTTTTTCACCTGTAATTTGTCTGATTTAGGAAAGTGGAATGTGAAATGAGCTTTGAGGGTTGGCTGGTGAGGACTCCTTCCGGTGCTGGGGAAAAATGTATTCTAGCATTGGGCAAGGCAATTTTGAGTACAAATGGCTTTAGGACCCTGCACCCACGTGGGAGACTCAGAAGCTCCTGACTCCTGGCATTGGATTTGCTCAGCTCCAGCCATCACAGCCATTTGGAGATTGAAGCAGCAAATGGAAGATCTTTCTTTCTATCTCTCCTTCTCTCTGTAAATTTGCCTTTCCAATAGAAATAAATCTCTCTTAAAACAACTATGCTGTTCTGGAGTGTGTAATGTCTTTGGATTTCTTTCTGTCCTCACTGTGTACTACTCCTCATTTTATATCCCTTTTCCCAAAGTGGGTTCCTCAAACTATGGGAGCTTCAGTCCCTGTAAGGAGCTGTCTCCAACCCTGACTCCACTACTTATTTTCGGTGTGCTCTCAGACAAATCCTGTCTCCTGGCTGCGCTGCCATCTTTTTCTGGATAGGCGGATGCTCCAAGAGCCTCAGTCCTCATTCATGGAAATTCTGGAAACTGCTGCCAGTGTAAGTCAGCCAGCTAAACAACCAGAGGGGCAGGGAATGAAGGTAGGAAAGGGCCATCCTATCCTAGGAGTGAGGGTGAGCAGAGCATCCAGGAAAGCCTAAAGCTCAGTAGCTGCAGATAATGTGCTAGCTGTCAATGTCTGATGAAGTTTCTAAAAGAGAGTTTTTTTTTTTTTTTTCCATTCAAGAGGCATCCTGGGACTGTCATGGTGGCATGAAGAGGAAGCAGCTGCTAGCATTCCAGATAAGCACTGGTTTGAGTCCTGGCTGCTCCCCTTCCAATTTGGCTCCTTGTGAACAGCAGAAGATGGCCCAAGTCCCTGGGCTCTTGCTTTCGGGTTCCTGGCTTTGGTCTGGCCATTGTAGCCATCTGAGGAGTGAACCAGCTGATAAAAGATCTCTCTCTGCAACTTTGTCTTGCAAGCAAATGAATAAATCTTTAAACAATAATAGAAGAAAAAATTTATAATAAGCTGTATCCACAATTCTGGATTATTTCTGCACAACCTGGCCAACAGCAGGGAGGGAGGGGGCATCAGACAGACTGAGAGCCTCACCTGTCTGGTAGAGACCTTAAGGTTCTTGGCATCATTAAACCAAGTCTGGAATGGTGTTTAAATAGGGGACCAGAAGGGAAGAAGGTCTATGGCCCTCTTGCTTTCCAGTGGAGAATCACTCAGAGGGCCACAGGTACAGGTGGGGTGCTCCAGGGCTGGGGGAAAAATTTTTGTTGGTGGCTTCTCCCACCACCTCCCAAGCAGGTACAATGTGCAAGGACAACAGATTGAGTTGAGAGTCCACTCTCTTTCCAGGCCAGAGTGGCTGCCCAGCGAACAAGGTGGGTGAGATGGGGTGGATGGGGTACAGACGGTTGGTTCCGACTCAGGTGCACCATGCACCTGCTCACCACACAAGGCTAGGGACTCTCTACTCCCTGTATTACAGGCCCTAGCAGGCGTCACCCAGCCTTGGGTGTCACGGAAGCAGACATGATGGATAGATCCTATTCACAGCTGGCCCGGGGCACTGTGGGGCCCTTGGTCACCTGTGTGAGCCCTCAAAGTGCGCCAGAAGCTGTGTGCATGTGCTGAATGTGGACTTTTGTCTCTGGAGTCAGAAAATCTCCAAGAGAAAACCTGGGGAGCGGCCGGCGGGGCGGGGGGAGGGGGTCGTCCCCAAACTGTGGCTTCCTGAGGGCAAGGCCTGGGGCTTCAGACTCAGCGAGTGGCCTTCTCCTATGCTCAGCTAAGGTTCCTCCAAGGGGTCCCCTAGTCTCCCCATGCCTCCTGAAGGCCCTGACAAGCCTGAGCATCCAGGAGGTGAGACCAGCTTCCTCTTCCTTGTGGGTCTTCTAAAGGCCAACTCAGGGCTCTGCCTCCAGGGGGCGCCAAGCGGACACTTCTTGTAGGCTGCCTGGGGCTGGGGAAGAGACTAGATCATGGTCATGGTCGGCGCTGAAAGAGCTTTGAGAGCTGGATAGTTTGCTGGCAGTTCCAAGATGAGGTGGCTGATGCTGAGAGAGGAGGCTCCAAGTAAATGACAGAGCTGGGCTGGGGCACAGCATGATGGGCAGCACTGCCCACCTCTGGCTCTAGGTCAGCCATTTGACTGAGGCTAGGTGGCGGGGAGGGGGAGCCCTTAGAATGACTGCCAACAACTAACTCCTTAGTGTGGATGATCAGACAACGGTTCCGATAGGAGTGCTGGCTTGCCTGACCTCACGCAGCCATAGAGGGGTGGAGCCAATGACAGCGCAGAGCTCCAGACACCCACCCTTGAGTGAAGGGCCCAGTGGACCAGCCTGGGGACAGTTCACACTCTGGAGTCCTCGCGCTTCCTGTCCAGGTCCGACACCAACAGCTTCTTCTGCAGAGCAGGGCTGGATGCAGGAGCCACTCCAGGGGCCGTGGCGCTTGCCTCTTTGTCCTGCTGCCTTAGGACGGCCACAACTAAAGCAAAGCAGATCATGGTGCCCGCTTTGAAGAAGAACTGGAGGCCCACAAACCTGGGGAAGAGAACAAGGAGTCCTTGAACTCAGGAGCCTAAGAGAAAGACACTGGGGACTTAGGGAGGAGCTGACCCCGCTGGGGCCCTTCCCTGGCAGAGAGGAGAGACTCCTGGATGCAGGCAGGAGCCCAGGTGATATCCCTACACTGTCTTCAGCTGTCCTGCATCCAGGGCTTGGCCTGATGGCTCTCAGCCTTTCTAAGGGGCCTGCCTTAGTACCTTACCTGCCACAAGAAAAGCATGGTTCCCTCTTCCCAGTTGAACTTGTCAAGGTCCTTTTAGGTCCTCCGGGAAGTCCTACCAGATATCCCTGTGCCCTGCTCTTAGCCGGAAGAGACCAATTCCCTGTCTCTGGCCCTGGCCCTACCGACAAGCCCTCCCCACATACAGACCAGGCCAGCTGCTTCTTCCCCCTTCAAGTGCCTTGGTGCTCCCCATTGTACAGATGGGAAGATTGAGTCCCAGAGAAGGCAAGTCTTTTGAGGATAGAGATGGACTTGGGCCAGGCACCCAGGTTCTTTCCTCTGACTCCCTACCCTTCATTTGTCTCACAGCAGGACTGCTCTGAATGGACTCTGTGGTCAGACAGGGGAGAGGTAGTAGAGCCTGGGACTTAGTCACCACGTGGCTACTCCCTCATTCCCACTTTGCTTATTTGTGAGTGGGGGGACAGGACTGCTGAGCTCAGCACTGGACGTGGCAGCCGTTACCCAGCACATGGCCTTGCACAGGACCTTCCCCTGCCGGTGTCCTGCGTGGGACCCTCCCAGCCTTGCCCGCCATCCCTGCCCACGTCTCACCGGGTTCGGAGCAGGTCAAGGTTGTAGTAGCGGCATACAGCCCGGCGTCCACAGCTCACGGCCCAGTGCACACATGTGGTGTCGATGGCGCTGCCATGAATCACGGGGCTGGGCATCCAGGCTAGAAGCAGAGCAACTCAGGGGACAGTGGTGCCGTGGCCTTCCCCTAGTCACCGTTCCTCCCTCCCCCTTCCCTGGCACACACAACCCCTCGGAGCCTGCAGGCCATGGGGATCTCTGGGTCCAGGCATCTCTGGTCCTCAAGCCCACTCATCTGTCACCCGGAGATAGTCTCTCTCAGAGCCTGGCTCCTCCCAGTGTACAGAGGGCCTGGGCAGGGTCTGCAGTCCCCTGGCCTATGGGCTGCAGGTCGCAGACTGAATCCTGATTACCCCGGTGTCCCAGGCTTGACAAGCACAGCCATCTCTTCCTCCTCCCCTGCCCTTGCCTCCTGCCACAGCCAAGAGCCCAAGCAAGGACTTTACCCAAAACTCTCAGTAGCATGAACTGGATCCCCACAGCCAAAGTCTTGTCTTCTTTCTTCACTCCCCTAACACACAGGGACAGAGGGACAGGAATGTGGTGCTATAGCCACATGGAGGAATTCTGGACACACCCTTGTGTCTCCTGCCTGAAGATCTAGCCTGACTGGGGGGTGAGGCATGTCCTGCACCCTGGCTCCATTCACCCTGTAGGGCCTGGTTTCTGTGTCCCAGGCCTAACTGCTCACTTGGCCAAGGACACTGGCCTTCTGTCTCTGCTCTAACTGCCAAGCCTGGAGCTGGGACCACCTGACACTCCTCCAACTTTCCAAGCTTCCATAGCATAGCCTGGGATCCCCCTAGCAGTCGCTGGCACTTTCTAACTCACACCTGGGAGGGGCTGGCATTGCTTAGGTTCAATATTTCCATCCTGCAGCCCAAGTCACTCCAATGAGGCAGGTGTATCACAAGCCCCATTGCATGTTTAAGGAAACCAGCAGGTTGAGGTGCTTGGTCAGGATCTCATTGCTAATGTGTGTCTGAGCTAGGACCTGTGTCCTTAGCTCCTCCTACTCAGCTGCCTGCTTTTTCTAATGTATGCAAGACAGCCTGCTTCCAGTTTTCTAGAAAGCAGATGGTGGATAAAACAATGCCAGAGATGAAACTTTGCAATTATCTTGTGCTAGGACAGCCTTCTCCCAGCTTGCACTTCAGAAGGCCCTACCCTTAGATTCAGGTGATAGTTTGTCAGGTCCTACATCAGATTCTCTTAGCACAAAGACCAGAAATATCAGGAGCCAAAAAGCATCCTGGGCTGGGTTCATGGTGAGGAGTACTCATAGACTTGTGCTGTGGTACAGCGAGTAAAGCCACCGCCTGCAGCACCAGCATCCTGTTTGGGCACCTGTTTGAGTCCTGTTTTACTCCACTTCAGATTCAGCTCCCTGCTAATGCACTTAGGAGTGCAGTGGAGAATGTCTCATGTGCGTGGGTCTCCACATCCACGTGGGAGAGCTGGGACATCTCCCGGCTCCTGGCTTTGGAACAGCACTAGCTCTGGTTGTTGAGGCCATTTGAGGAGTAAATCAGGGGATGGGAGATCTCTGTCTTTCAAATAGTAAGTAAATAAATAAATTTAGAATAACTGCTTGTGGCCTGGGAACTGTGTTCAGAATCATGAGCTCCAGGCCCTGGCACCAGCCCTATTCTGTTCAACACTTGCTCTGCACCTGCGACCAACTCCTGAACTTTTCTGAGCCTCAGTTTTCTTATCTGCAAGATGGGGAGATAAACCTCCTCTCAGCAGGTTGCCACAGGGATGCAAGACAGAACAGGGAGGGCCTGGTCTGGTCTGTCGTGGGCAGGAATGACCAGGACACTTGAGTGGCCTCTTCCTGGTCCTTGTCCCTCAGAGGATCCTGCCTAAGGCCAAGGCCCTCTCATTACCCAGGCACCAGGCCCTGCCTCTGCCTTACCTTAGGATGCCTAAGGTTAGGATGCCTACCTTAGGATGAGCATGAAGGAGGGTGTGTGGGTGATGCAGAACATGGCTGCGCTCAAGCTGACCAGGAATATGAAGGGCAGCACCAGGGAGCTGCAGGATGACTCACAGGAGCCCCCCAGCACAGGCTGGCCCCCCGGCACGCAGCTGCAGTTGGTATAAAGAACCTGGTGAGACAGAAGCATGGAGAAGATCCCTCAGGGGCTGCCACAGGCAGACAGCTGACTGAGATCTGAGGCTGGGAAAGGTTCTGGAGGCCTGAGAGCCATAGCCAGCCAGGGTTTAGCCACAGGAGGCCAGGACTTTTGACCCCTGAGCTGAGTCCTGCAAGCTTGAGGAGCCAGGCAGGTGCCTCCTCAGCACAGGCTGTCTGTGCTTGCTCAGCCTGGGCTGAGACCAAGAGGATTGAGGGAGGAGGGTCGTAGACAGAAGGAGAGAAAAAGAGTGTCACCCCCAAGAGTACACACCAGCAGCAAGGCAGCCTTCCATTTGTCCAGGGCTGCCAGGAAGCCCCCTGCCCCCAACACACCTGATCTGCCCTTGCCAGCATCCTCAGGCCTGGCAGGAGGAGCAAGGCTGAGCCAAGAGACCTGGGCTCTGCTTCTCCTCCTATGGATCCCAGCCTCCTGAGCAGTGTGGACCTGAGCAGGTGACAGGTGCACAGGAATCCAGGTCATCCATCCTCCAGGCAGCAGAGGGAATTCATTGGACCTCTCACCACCAGCCCGGCAGCCATGGCTGCTTCTCAATGTTATGGGGTTGGGAAACCCAGAAGGATTTTTTTTTTTTTTTTGCACCTGGGTCAGAGAGATTGAAGATGCAAGGGAGGCTGCTTGGAAGCCGGGGGAGGCAAGGGGAAGGTTTCACAAGTGGCACAAGGGGTGGCTGGATGACAGAGTTCTGATTTGGAGGCGGATCTGGGGAGAGAAAAGACTTTAGGTGTGGGTGACTAATGCTTTCCCTAGTTGGGCATGCTGCCCACTGAAGGGCATGCCTAGGCTGCCTTGCTACCTGTGTGAGGCCTCCTAACCATGCACTCTTAGCCAATGCAGGGTCTTCAACTAGCCTCCTGGGCTGGAGAGGAAAGGAAAGACAGGAAGTGGAGCAGCATGTCACAGCAAGGTTACCAGAAGAAAGACTCTACCTGAGCCTTTCCTCCAAGGCAGAAGGCAGCTGGGATGGATGGAGATGCTGGAGGTCTTTCATGGCTGAATTCCCCTCTACTGTCTCTCAGTCTCATTGTCAGAGACTGGGGGCTGGCCGCTTTTCCCCATCCCTACCTGTTCCCTCAGTCATTTAAAAATGCTTACAGGGTCAGGTGACAGGCACAGCAGGTCAAGTCACTGCTTGGAACACTTGTGTCCCAGTTGGGAGTGCCTTGGTTGAGTCTGCCTCTGCTGCCTGCTAGTGCACCCCCCCATCACACCCCACCAGGAACACTCAATTCCTGGAGTTCCTGCCATCCACATAGGACACCCAGATCAAGTTCCTGGCTTCAGGCTTCAACCTGGCTCATCCCTGGCTATTGTGTAGGTGTGTGCAGAGTGAACCAGCAGAAGGAAGATCTCTCACTGCCGTTCAAGTGAAAATAAATGCAAACTATAAAAACTGTTACAGCGTGCACCTGCATTGGATCCTGGTGAACCCATCCTTGAGCCAAGAGGCAGGCTCATTAAGAGACAAATTCAGGGGGCCCAGCGCGGTGGCACAGTGGTTAAGGTCCTCGCCTTGCACGCCCAGGATCCCAAATGGGCGCCGGTTCTATCCCGGCAGCCCCGCTTCCCTTCCAGCTCCCTGCCTGTGGCCCAGGAAAGCAGTCGAGGACGGCCCAAAGCTTTGGGACCCTGCACCCGCGTGGGAGACCTGGAAGAGTCTCCTGGCTTTGGATTGGCATAGCATCGGCCGGAAGATCTTCCTTTCTGTCTCTCCTCTCTGTATATCTGCCTTTCCAATAAAAAAATAATAAAAATAAATCTTAAAAAAAAAAGAGAGAGACAAGTTTAGGCCAGTGTGATCGCTGCCGAGTGGTCTGATGCCAGACCTCCAAACCCAAACCTCCATGGTTGATCCCAGAAAAAGCTAGACTGGGAGGCCAGAGCCTTGGGTCCTAGTGCCAGTTCTAGGATTGGGACTCAGGAAAACCTGGTCTGCCCTGCACCTCCATCTCCTAGCTATATGATGGAAAATGCTTGTGGAAAAAATGGAATTTAAAGGTCTGTTGATTTTGGTGCCAGGAAAATCAAAGGTTAGAAATCCACACATATGGATTCATTCACAATGAACATTTTGAAGATCCCCTTTGTATAAATGTGGGAGTATTATTGAAGCTTAAAATATCCTGGGTGCCAGGCGAGGCACTCTACATGGATTCCATGCCATAACTTCATTCACACTTTAATGAATAATTCTTGGTAGAGCACTTATCAAGCACCAGGCCTGCTACACAGTATACAGTAGGCAGGCAATGACAGCAAACTGGTTTTTAGACCAGGAAACTGGGGCAGAGGTTCAGTAGTTTGCCTAGTGTGACAGGACCCTTAGAGGTAGGGCAAGGATGTGAGCCGGGCAGCCTGGCCTGTGCCCAGGGACCCCTACACACAAGAGTTCACTGTCTAGTTTTCAGGCAGGATTGGATGCTTCGGGGAGGCCTCTCAGGGAAATGGAACTTGATGAGGGCAGCGAGTGCCAGGAGGTCCAAGGCTGGAACTGTGATGATTACAGGCGCTCAGGTCAGCCCATTCCAGGTTGTGCCAAGCTACTTCTGAGGGATTATCAGCCAGGTGTTGTGCTCATACCAGTCTCTCCCCAGGCTCACACCAGCCTCTCCCCATGCCCACACCAGCCTATCCCTAGTGTTTGGCACAACGGGGACTCTGGAGAGAGGGAGATGTTATCATGACAAGCAGCCTGGCATTGTCTCCCTGTCCCCCACGCATAGTCTTGCAGGTACTTGCAAGAGGCCCCCTCTCCTGCCTCTTAGTATCCCTGGAATTCCCATGAATCATCTTCTCCACCTCCCTGTCTGGATGGCTGAGGGGCTGGAGCTGGCTCGGTTGGGAGCCTGGCCTCTCGGCTGGAGGTGGCAGCCTGTGTAGAGTGTGACCTTTCCCAGTGAACAGGCAACAGCAGTAGGGGAGTGGGAACAGGCAGAGGGGAAGGCAAGGTGCCAGACAGGTAGAGGTTGTGCCAGGGCCTGGACTTACCTGGCTTATGTCCCTGGCTTCCTTGACCACATGGCTGGTGCAGCCTGCATGGCAGGGCGTGAGGTACTCCACGTGGGTACTAGGGTCACACACGGGGTTAAAGTCATCTGCCGGGCAGGAGCAGAGTTTCATGCAACCTGGAAACAGTGCTGGCTCTGGCTGTGTGCTGTGGGGAGAGAAAAGACTGGGCTCCTCAGGTGTGGCCTGGCTCTCTTGGCACCCAGAGTCACAGGTAGGGACCTTGGTAGCCCTGTGCCCATAGCCCAGCACACGGAGCAATATTCAGAGACTTCTGCCAAGAAGGTTGCCCCTGCTGAGGTGGAGGTAATGTACTTGCCAGCCATAAGCAGGGAAGTGGGCTAGCAGGAGATGTGAGGACTGGTCTGAACCAGTGGCCTCCAATCCCCCTAACAGCCCCCAACTTCAAGACCCCAGTTCTGCAGTAACTATTCTATAAGCAACCCAGACTTGCTCCTTCCAGGACTTAGTGCCAGGGGAAGCTGGTTGAGTGGGTTCTGCTTTCTTTTCTCAGAAAATTTGAGCTTGATGTGGATACCTGACTGGGTGCTGGATCTCTGACCTGTTCTGCCTCTTTCTGGACTGTGTGCTGGGTGAGGCTTTGGGGGCACCTCTGTACCATTACCCTGCTCTGCATGACTAGCATATCCCTTTGCTGGTGACCGAGCAGAGGGAGAAACTGAGAGCAAGGTCACCTAGGCAGGAGGAAGGGGTATGGAGACAGGGGTGTGGCCCACCCATCCAGCCCGCACTAGCTTCCCCGACCCTTCACCACGCAGGAGCACACTCACGCAGACTGATGGGTGATGCCTGCAACATGGTGGTTGGAGCAGCCAATGAAGAAGAGGGGCAGGCTAAGCAGCATGCCCAGCCCTGCCGACAGCAGGCAAAGCAGGCCACAGCGCAGGGGGCCCATGTGCAGATGCTTGACCAGGACACCCCCTACCACGATGCCCACGATGACCAAGGGTATGGCGAGGGAGCCGATGAGCAGGTTGGCGTAGGAGGCTGTGATGGAAAACTGGCGTTCCAGGAATTTAGGCAGGAAGGTGGCCACGCCCGCCGCCATGCAGGACATAGACACTTGTGACAGGACCACCAGCAGGAAGATGGGGTGGCGCAGCGTCCGCAGCAGCACCCTGGGGAAGACTGTTGGGGCAAGCAGGGAGCAGTCAGGCCCACCCGCCAGCCACACCCTACACAACCCAGTTTCCACTGTCCGGTTCCTTTTTACTCTCCCCACCCCACATCATTCTGGGGCATTCGATTCTATGCCACTGCATTTCACTCCTGTCTCTTTCATTCTCTTCCACTATTTCAGTCTACTCCACTGTGTTACATTATAGTTTATTCACCGTGTCTATCTCCATCCAGTTCTATTTGATTCCATACAGGGGATATTTCAATTAGTCCCTGGGAAATGGAATGAAAAGATAAAACAGATTGTGGTGTAAAAGATTTTGAGCTCCATGCATAGAAAGGATTTTCTAAAAGTTAATGGAAAATGCACGTTACGAAAACACTAAGCTTGGATTTTAATTTTTAAAAAATATTTGAAAAGCACAGTTACAAATAGAGAGGGAGAAACAAGAGGGGCGAGAAAGAGACAGAGAGATAGAAAGAGCAGAGAGAGAGATCTTCACCCTCTGGTTTACCTGGCTGGGCCAGGCCAAAGCTGGGAGCCTGTAACTCCATCCAGGCCTCTCATGTAAGTAGCAGGGGGCCACAAACTCAGATCATCTGTTGCTGCTTTTCCGAGAACATTAGCAGGAAATTGGATCAGAAGTGTCTGGGAAAGCAGCAAAAGATGGCACCTGCAAGCAGCACATGGACACCTGGATGGAGTTCCAGGCTCCTACCTTCTGGATGGCCTGGTTGTAGCCCATGCAGCCACCTAGAGAGTTAACCTACAGATGAGAGTCTCTCTCTCTGGCTCTTCCCTCTCTCTATAACTCTACTTTCAAGTAAATAAGTAAATCTTTAAAAATGCTTGAAACAATTAAAAATAAAGTTCATGTCCAAAATGCCAAATTTTTTTTTTTTAAAAAGTGGAGCAGCTGAAACTTGAACCAGTGCTCATATGGGATGCTGGCATAGCAGGTTATGGCTTAACTTGTACCAGTCCCTGGCTTTAATTTTCTAATTTTTTTGGCATCCAATAAAACATTTTATGTGAAGTTTAAAAATAAGCTTATCTTTTACTTTCATTTTAGTGTTCTTGCTCAAGTCCCCTTGTATGACTGTCACTTGGGTCCTATTGCATTCACCCCATCATGTTGCACTTTTGCTATTCTACTCATTCACCTCCGACTTAACTCCTAGCCCTGTCCAGTCTGTCCTGCTGGTGCTTTTTCCAAGCCAGCCCAGGTATTCTAGCTCCCTGGAGCCCCTGTGCTTCTCTGTGGCACTTAAGCCATCAATTTCCACAGCTGGCTCACTTAGGTGGTCTAGGTTCACCTAGCCAGGATGGAAGCATCCTCCAGCGCCAGGGTGTGGGGGAGCAGGCTTGTCTGCTGTGTTCATTGATAGACCTCCAGGGCCTGAGGTATCACAGACAGTCAGCTGAGATTAGCTGAATGAACGAATGGACATTCTGATGACTAGGGGATCCCATGTCAAAATGCTAGGGACAGAATTCCAGGCTTTCCAGAGAAAGGTGAACTTAGCAGTCTCCTTGGGCCTGGGACAGTGTCAGGGGCTAGGGACTGGTGGCAGGTGGCTGGGGAGCTGGGAGGAGAAGGAAGAGAGACTCTGAGTCAGAGCACAGCAGGGACCCAAGCAGGGAGGTAGGAAGAGAAGCAGTTGATCTGGCATGGGTGACCTCTCTAACATCTGGAAGGATTCATAGCAGAGCACTTTTGGTTCTAACACATGTGCTCTTCTGTCCCACTATAGCAAAGGAAGAAAAGCTGTGCTTCCACCTGCTGTACAAACTCCTGACTGGGCTGGGCTGGGTAGGAGAGCTGGTTCTGGGGGTCCTCTGAGCCCCAGGAGAGGTAGGGGGTAGGGTATCTCTTTCTGCAGTAGCAGCAGGCCCAGAATCTGTCTCTCATGGGAGATGATTTCTGTGTATCCTCAGTGCATGGCCAAAACGGCTAGGCTCTTAGACCCCTGTCTCCAGCCAGGCATTATTTCCACAGAAGCCAAAAAATAAAGACAAACAGTACTGTTTGGGGTGGGTGGAAACTGGAACTGTGGAATTTCCCCCACTTTCCCATCCCAGGCCTGCCTCCAGTCCCTGATCCTTGGCCACACATCCAGTGCACAAGGCCAGCATTTGGAGTAGGGTGTGTGATGCTGGCCTTCGCCCAGGTCACTACTCCAGTCTCTCTCCCTCCTCCTGCATTGTTTTAGCAAGGCCATGTGATACGTTTGGGAGTGGTGGGGTTTTAATCAGCTTGGGCCAAATTACACAGGTGTCCTCGTTGCCCAGTGGAATCCAGAGGGAGCCAGGACCTTGGTCCAGTTCATCCAGAGAGGCTGGGGGTATGACCAGGGGGAACAGATGGGGCAGCGGATGACCAGAGGAGATGGCCAGGGGGGCCAGGAGTGCTCAGGGTCCCCTGAGGTTCAGGACAAGGGCCATTCCCCTGCTATCATGTCCTGGCGCGTCTCCAGGCCTGTGCCTCTCTGGCTCCAGAGGGCTCGGATGGTTTCTACTCCCTCTTCCATGCTCCTTACTTTGGTGGGCTTGGAGCCTGCACTCCCTCGAGCGTACAGAGATGTGTTTTCATTCACACCTCAGAGGCTAGTCTTCCCCTCTCCAAGGGGCTACCCCTTAGATTAGCACAGTGTCTCCTCCATCAGACACTCCCATTCAACTTGGAGGTCATGTTTAATCCATGGGCCAGGGGCCTCACTCATCCTGGAGACCACTTGTCTTCCATCAGCCTGGGGTTATGTTGGAGGCTTCTCTTCACTCAAGAACAGTGTCTTCTCTGTTAGACAGGAAGCTCCTCTAAGGCATGGACTATGCTCCCCCATCTGACCTTCCTTAGACCAGAGACTGTGTTGTCTGAGAATGCAGGGCTCTTCCAGCAAACAAACCATGCTTCCTGCTTTCTCCTTCATGTAGCCTGGCAGTCAAGGCCAGACCGCAGGATCAGACTGGTCCTCCGTGGAAGCCAGGCTGGTTGAGCAGCCATAGGGTCTATGCCCTGCCTGGCCCCAATCTCACGCAGAAGCTGAAAGTAGCAGAGAACACCCACACTCTGGGATCCAATTTCAGCGCCTGGCCCCAGCTTCGCTCTGGGTAGCAGCCAACGCCACCATGATTAATAAGCTCTTCCGTGGTGCAGTGTGCTGGGGCCTTCCTGCAGCTGCAGGTTAAGGAGCTCCATTCCTTGCCTGAAAGCTCAGCCCAGAGGAATTCAGGTCCTTCTGGGACACTAGAGGACCGGGAACTAGCTGGCTGCCATTGTAGTATCAAGTGCTTTCTCAGGAGGCAGACCCAATTCTTTCTTGTAAAACTCTCAGTAAGGAATTAGTAAGCCCTGTGGACTTCATTTCCTAAAGCAGGCAGCTCTGCTGTCCATCCCAGGGCCATCACAGCAGGGTGGGAGCACACAAGCAAGTAATTGCACCTTATGTAAGGACATATCTTAAAAATAGTATATAGAGTACTTTCCCTTCCTCATTCTGCTTGCTTCTATCAGAGTCCTTGAGAGAGGCAGAGGGAGCATTATTGATCTAATTCTTCCCTTCAGATGAGGAAGCTGGTGAGAGGGAAAGTCACTCGATAAGAATGTACACGGGACTAGCCAGCCCTGCTGCGAGATCAGGTGTGGGCATTCTCAGAGAGGACCACCTGGCTATAGCACAGACGCCGGTCACTTAGTGCTCACCATCTACCCTTCACTGTGCAGACGGTAAAGCTGAGGCCCAGAGGGGAGCAGGCATGCAGTGCCAAAGCTCAAGCCTTGGGTTTCAGCCCAGAGCTCCCTCTCTCCATGCCGGAGCCTAGGGATTGAATGAATATATGTTTCCCAAGGGCCTCCTGTTGGCAGGCTTAGTGATGGGTGGGAAGATAAGGGTCATGGATGAACCACCACAGGCCGTGAACTTCAGGAGCTCACCACTTGGAGGACAAGTCTGTGGCATGGATCCGAGTTGATAAACAAGTTCTGAGGGCACGGAGGGTCCAGAAAGCGGAGGGAAGCAGCCTCACTGGCTGGAAGAACACAGCATGCTAAATGAAGGAGGGCTCTTGAGTTTGACCCAGAGGAGCAGGGAAGATTTCAACACAGAGACCTAGAAATGGTGGTCCCGGGCAGAGAACAGCAGCAGAGACTCATGGGGGATGTGGGGTGCTCCTGAGAGCCTGAATGAATCAAGAAAAGCAGGAAGGGGTGGGACCCAAGGGGTCCCTCCGCCCCCAGTTTCCCATAACCTGGTATGAGCTTCCTTACCTCTGATGAACTGGAGAATGGTCAGGTCTGGTGCGATCTGGGCTAAGCCATCTTGCTTCTTCTGGGACTCCCCCAGGCCCTGTTCAGCAAGGGAGTCCTCAGCCTGGGGGGACACACAGGCCCTCTGGTCAGCTGGGTATCAGAGCTTCTGTCCAGTTCAGAGATGGCCATGAGCCAGGGAAAAGAATGCCAGAAGAGGAGGGTCTTCGACACCCCATTATGAACAATGGGGCCTGATGTGTTTCACTTGTTTTTGGGCTCATAGATTCTCTGCAAGTGGGTTTGGAAGGGTGAATGAAGTTCCTGTGGTTAGACTCGTCATCACCATCATTAGCGTCCATGTGGCCAATGGGTCATCACCCTTGCTAACATAGCAATGGTTACCAACACTACCATGAACATTAACACCATGACCACCCCCTCATCAGTATTGTTCCCATTACTCTCAAGATCACCCCTTTACAGCACCAGTGTCACCATGAATCAATGACCACATATGATGATCCTTACCAGAGTCACTGTCATGATGGCCACCACCACCAGAACCATCATTACCATTATCTCTGTCACCTGAACCTTCAGAATCACCACCAACACCATGATTGTCAAAATCATCAACTCACTACCACTGTTCTCTGTCATCATCATCTTCAGTAACCCTTCCACTGTCTATCACCGCCAACTCCACCAGTGTCACTAATAACAATAACAAATCAATGATTCTATCAGCACTACCACCACTATCTCCAATACTGACATCATTATTAGTGTTGCCATCAGTGTCACCTATCCCAGCAACACCATTCTGCGTGTCACTGTCACCATCAACATTACTAATGTGGTGACCACTAGCCATTGGGTTACTCAAGACTTTCAACAACCTGGAGAGGCCCTGTAACTGTGCCTGCCAAGAGGTGGGGGTTGTTTGGAGTTGGAGGCCTATCCTGTTCTCTGCTCTCCAGTGGGATGGGAAGGGAGTTGGAATGGGTGGGGGTAGTGGCACAGGCAACAGCAGCCCTCCTCTTCTTCTCTGGGGTGAATCTGCCCATAGCTAGCAGGTGTACACAGCTCTAGAAGGATGTTTGTAGGTACTCTGCAGGTGTCCTCTCACCTGGGTGAGGATGGCCCATCTACAGCTACTGAGAGAGAGACTTGTATCCTGGGGAAGGGAAGATTGGGGTGTGTGTGGGGTGAGGGTAAGAGTAGGTCATAATTAGCATCTTTTGTCAGAAAGAAGGAAGGAAATCATGAGGAATTGCTACTGTCTACTAAGCACTTAGTACACTTAGCACTGTTCTGATGACTAGTGGATAACTAACTGAATAATCACGCCAGACTTCAGCAGCTGATATCACCGCAATTGCCACTGTCTTCAGGTCAGAGGTCACCGAAGGGCTGGGACATTCTACCTGCATCCCTCCAAAAGAACAAGGCTCAAGGCAGGTGCAATGCCCATGCACCATTTTCTGAGGAGAAATTTGAGTCTTGGAGAAGTTGTTCCCAATGCAGAGTTATGCCAATACAAGTCATCATTCACTGCAATTTCCTATGTAGTCCTGTTCTTGAGAATGAGAAGCAGCCAGTCCCATGGATGGAGGCTTAAGCCTCTTGCTGGCAAGTGGCTGCCCTGGAAGAAACAGTGTACAAGCAGAGGCTGGCTTCCCTTCTACTGGAATGCTGCATGTTGTAGGAGAGGGTTTCCAAGTGGGCGATAGCTGCATCCCAGGATGCTGGAATTGGAATTGTGCTGGGACTTGTTCCCAGGTGCTCTGATAGGAGCAGCAGGCATCCTAAGCTCAGTTTCGAGTGTCTTCAAGGGAACCAAACACATTAGGTGGACAGATAGACTGATGTTGATGCCAGCTATGTGGGGGTAGGGATCTTCCCATGCTTGGGTACTATGTAAGACCTCAGGACGTTTGGTTTAACTTAGTGGGGAAACATTGAGAAGCTCAGGGAGAACTTTTGCATGACTTGGCAGTTTGGGCCTTTACAATAAAATAAGTTGATTTTTAAGAGAAAACCACAAGATGTTCTATTTTCTATGCACCCAGGCCTGAGTTAAAGCCTGTTCAGTCTTGTTCCCCTGCTGGACTTTAAGCTTTTCAAGGATGGGCATTGTGTTTCTCTTGTTCTTTCTGGAAGCCCTGGTGCCCAGCACAGGGCCTGGGACAACAAACTGAGCACCCAATGAACATTAATTCAAGGGAGGAGTACATGAGATGTCGTGAGCATGCTGGGATGCAGCCTGTACCAGGCTTGAGAAAAATGGGAACATCGAGAGGCGATGCTGTCACGCTTCAAGGCAGTTCCAAGACAAGCCAGAGTCCGCCCACACAGAGTACCCCAGGGGCTGGCAGGATGGAGACTACAGGCTTTGCCAGGTCCCTGGGGTGTGGGCTGAAAGGAGCCTGCGCCGCTGTCACTGACCTCGCTCACTTCCATTTCCCTTCTTTCTTGTCACATCCTTCCCCTCACCTGTGCCCTTTGCCAGCAAGGGGCGAGTCTCACACCACTCCACACGCAAGCAGACAAGCTCTGAGGTTAGGCAGCTTGTTCAACTTCACATGAGTGGAAAACAGCAGAGTGAAGATCTGAGCTTAACCCTGCCTGGGTGGAAGCCTCCAGGTAGAAGACTGCGGCTGGAGCCGCAGGGCCTGCTGAGCCAAGAGTGGCTGAGGTGGGATCTGCAGGGGCCTGGGGCTCTACCACTTAATGTTGCTTTGAGGGAGGCACATCCTAGGTCTGGTGTTCATTTAGACGCGCTGTCTAATGCAGCCGCTGCCACCAGCCACACTGGCTACTGAGCACCAGAAGCAAGATTTGCCCAAATGGAGGTGATGTCTTCAATGAAAAATACACACATTGCGTTGAGGACTTAGCAAAAAAAAAAGATATTTCAGGGGCTAGCTTTGTGGCTTAGCCAGTGAAGCCACTGCTTGCAATGCCAGCATGGTCACTGGTTCAAGTCCCAGCTGCTCTACGTTTAATTCAGCTCCCTGCTAATGCACCTGGGAAAGCAGTGGAGGATAGCTCAAGTCTTTGGGCTCCTGCCATCCACGTGAAAGACTCAGAAGAAGCTCCTGGCTTCGACCTGGCCCAGTCGCGGTCATAATGGTCACTTAGGATAATTAATCAGCAAATTGAAGATCTCTCTCTCTCTGTCTCCTTTTTCCCCCCTATAACTCTGCCTTTCAAATAAACAGATAAATTTTAAAAAGATATTCCATTATTAATTTTTAATACTTCTATGCAAAACTGTGACTACTTCAGATATAATGAGTTAGCTAAAGGATGTGACTAAAATGAACTTTCATTTTTGCATGTGGCTACTAGTGATGCTGCCCTCGTTTCTTCCGGACACGCTGCCTTCTGGAAAATCAGTCCCCATGCGCTTTACTCAGTCCTAGCCATGCTACAGGGGAGTGATCGGGAGGGGCCTCTCAGTGGGACAAGGTGCTTAACAACTAGGAAAATATGCCAAGAGTAGGGTGTTGTCCCAGCAAGCAAATTGGGTGGGGCGTGCTGTGGACAGCCTGGTCAACTCCTGGTGTTCCTTATAGGGGAGGGCTTGGGCGCAACCGTTAGAGAGAAACAGAACCTTCTGAGTTCCTTGCCTGGGGTTCCTTGTCCTCATGCGGACAACTGCAGCATCATCCATTTCCACATGCACCTCCCCTGTGCCGTCCATACTGCACTTCCATACCCATCAAGTCCTTTAATGACCACAGGGCACAGCTGTCTTCCTGGTGCAGTGATTATGACTGCCCATTTTATTTTCATTTGAAAGACACAGTTATGGGCCTGGTACGGTGGCCTAGTGGCTAAAGTCCTCGCCTTGAACTCGCCAGGATCCCATATGGACACCGGTTCTAATCCCGGCAGCCCCATTTCCCATCCAGCTCCCTGCTTGTGGCCTGGGAAAGCAGTGAGGACAGCCCAAAGCCTTGGGACCCTGCACCCACATGGGAGACCTGGAGGAAGTTTCTGGCTCCCGGCTCCTGGCTCCGGATCGGTGCAGCACTGGCCGTTGCAGTCATTTGGGGAGTGAATCATCAGACAGAAGATCTTCCTCTCTGTCTCTTCTCCTCTCTGTATATCTGATTTTGTAATAAAAATAAATAAAATTTTAAAAAAAAGGCATAGTTACACAGAAAAAGAAAGAGATACTTTAAACCACTGACTCACACCCCAGATGGCCACAACAGCCAGAGCTGAGCCGATCTGAAGCCAGGAGCTCCCTCTGGCTCTCTCAAGCGGGTGTATGGACCCAAGGAATTGAACTACTCTCTGCTGTTCCCATTTTAATGAAGAGAAAACTGAGCACCACCCAAAGGGGACAATGCTGCCCAGGAAGCTATTGGCAGAATAGGCTCTCAAATCAGGTCTACCAGCACCCCTTACTCACCCCTGTCTGAGGCTGTGATAAAAAGAGAGAGAGAGACAAGTGGAGAGAGAGTCAAGTCTCAAGGGTAGGCAGGGTAGGTGAGGGCAGGAGTGCAAGAAGTGAGAGGCTGTGTGGCACATGGGCATGGTGTGGGTTGGGGCAGCAGGCAGTTGGAGCTGGCAGTTAAAATATTGTGATCTAGGGCCTGGCACAGTAGCCTAATGGCTAAAGTCCTTGCCTTGCATTCACCAGGATCCCATATAGGCGCTGGTTCATATTCCGGTTGCTCCACTTTTGTTTCAGCTCCCCGCTTGTGGCCTGGGAAAGCAGTCAAGGATGGCCCAAAGCCTTGGGACCCTGCAACTGCATGGGAGACCCAGAAGAAGCTCCTGGCTCCTGGCTTCAGATTGGCTTAGCTCCAGCTGTTGCAGTCATTTTGAGAGTGAACCAGCAGATGGGAAATCTTTCTCTGTCTCTCCTACTTTCTGTAAATCAGACTTTCCAATAAAAATAAATTAATCTTAAAAAAAAAAGAGAAAGAGGGCCCGGCGTAGTGACACAGTGGTTAAGGTCCTCGCCTTGCACGCCCGGGATCCCATGTGGGTGCTGGTTCTATCCCGGCAGCCCCGCTTCCCTTCCAGCTCCCTGCCTGTGGCCCAGGAAAGCAGTCGAGGACGGCCCAAAGCTTTGGGAGCCTGTACCCGCGTGGGAGACCC